AAAAAAAAAAAAAAGAAATACTTAGATGGATAAAGATGTGTGTGGAAAGATGGAAAGATGGAGGAATAGGCTGTAGGATAAAGAGTAAATAAAAATTAAGAATTTATAGGGATATAGTTGTACTTTTATTCAAAAGAATATGAATTTATATTCTGTTTTATTGAAACTGAGCACCTGTTGCAATGCAACTCCTATGTTAGTGAATAGCATGCAATAGTAAGAGAGATTCAGCTGATTATGTAAGCTGTTAGAGAGTCATTTTAAGTACTATTCATGGTGTTCCTTTGCTATGATACTATAAGGCAGCAGTCCCCAACCTTTCTGGTACCAGGTTCCAGTTTCATGAAAGATAATTTTTGTACAGACCATGGAGGGGGGTTGTTTTGGAATGATTCAAGTACATTTATTTTGTATTGTATTTCTATTATTATTGTGTTATAATATATAATGAAATAATTATACAACTCACCATAATGCAATATTTGCAGCCAATCCCCAGCACTAGTATTAATAGGCTCAGCTTCACCTCAGATCATCAGGCATTAGATCCTCATAAAGAGTGTGTAACCTAGACCTTTACATGTGCAGTTCACAACAGAGTTTGTGCTCCTATGGGACTATTGCTACCATGGATCTGACAGGAGGTAGAGTTCAGGAACTTATGCAAGCTATGGGGAGTGGCTGTAAATACAGATGAAATGTCACTTGCTCATCTGCTGTTCATCTCCTGCTATATGGTGCAGTTCCTTACAGTAAGGTATTAGCACAAATATGGATTATTGGAAGAATCACAATTTAAGAAATTTCTTTCTAGTATTTCCTTCCTTTCAAATACAAAGCAAAGATGGTGAAGAAAAGAAAAATCTTGAATGTATACTAAAAGCTGTGTGGGGTCAGGTCAGCATGTGGCATGGTGGTTAAGGCTCTAGACTCCCACATGGACACTTGAAGTTTGAGTCCCAGACACAGTGGATTGAAAATCCTGCTGAGTGTGTGTGCATATGTGCTCCAAATCCAAAATAAGATGGAAGGAAAAAGGATTGCGATGTGGCCATCCCTGTGGAAGAGGACAGGGGGGATTTCTCATTTTCCCTCTCTATCTCTTTGGTGAGCACACACACCCTATTGCAAAAACATTAACAACAACAACAAAAATGTATGGGTCAGCCAAGCAATGGTAGCACATTCTGGGCACTGTTATTTGGCAGGGTGAGGCCACTTGGGGGTCCTGGGTTCAATTTTTACCCCTAAAAAAGCAAGATGTGGTGAGGCTCATCCATAGTCCCAGCTTCTCAAGAGGCTGAGGCAGGAGGGTAGAAATACAGCAAGACCCTGTCTAAAACATCACACACATACCACCAAAACAAAACAGTTGAATGGGGTTAAGAAGAGTGGGAATAGAACCAGAGACAGAAAAAAAAGAGCACACTAAAAAAACACCCTATGGAAATGGGTGTAAAACAGCTTTCTTGCCCTATTTGCTTCTCATGGACTGTAATAGAACAAGATGTGAGGAAACATCTGTTGTCTTTTAAAATAGTACTTTGATATTTAAAAGAATAGTGACAGAGTTAAGGAACGTTTACTTGTGTGGTTAGGACAACAGTACCTATGAGAAGAAACAGGGAAAATTACCACAGCTTGTTAGATTGTGGAGCTAAGGATTTGACTGTCATGTACGAATCTGTGTAGCGTTGTGGGACAATGTTTAGCAAATGGGTCATGGGATTAGACTGCCTGAGCTTAAATGTTTTACTTGCAGGGTGATATTGGACAAGCTATATGAGTCCTCTAAGTTCCAACTGGGCATAAGGCTATTACCTGTCTCTGGGGTGGTTGTGAGATTGAATAAGCAAAATGAAACTTGGGGAGCTAGCCCAGAGACTGGACCCTGGTTTTTGTTAAAGGTTGGCTTTCTCTTAGACTAGACAGAGGAACTTACTGAGATATTGCATAGGAATAGAAGGGCCTTTTGAAAAAAGAAAAATAGACAGTGTTCTGCTGAGAAAGTCACTCTAAGACAGGCTGGCTTAAAGAATGGCTGAAGATAGGTTGACCATGGCGGTTTTTTATTTATTTATTTTTGAGGGAGATTTTTGCTATAGGGTGCATGTCCCTACTGGATAGTCACAGAGAGACAGAGACAGAAGGCAAGAAATCCCTGGGGGGATGGCCACATTGCAATCCTTTCTTCTCCATTCTCCTCTCAGAATCTGGGGCATGCACACACATACATCCAGCCCGAGTTTCAACTGCCAGGTTAAAGACTCAAGCCAAAGTGGGCCACGTGGGCATCCAGTGCCTAAACTACTATGCTGCTTGCTACCCCTCTGCCCTTTTATTTTACTTTATGTATTTTTTACATGCATTCACTGTATTTTGTTACAGCATACAAAATGCATTTTTCCATCCAGAAAACGCTGTATATTGGCTCAATCAAAGATATTATCATACATATTATCTTCAATAGATCATTTTCCATTTTGTGTTTCTTAAATGTTTTGGTTTTTCTTCTCCCTTTTTTGCCTTGATTCCCTCCTTCTCATCCTGCACATTTCCCACTCTCCTCCCACACTGTCTGTGGTATTCACAGTTGCTTTCCATGCCTTTTTCTTTTTTTAAAATTTATTTATTTATATTTTGGAGAGGTTTTCGCTATAGGGCATATGCGCTTGCCAGATAGACAGAGAGAGACAGAGACAGAAAGCGAAAATCACCCCCCGGGGGGATGGTCACGCTGCAATCCCTTCTCCTCCATTCTCCTCTCGGGATCTTGGGCACGCACGCACACGCACCCGGCGTGAGTTCTAAGCCACCGGGTCCAGGACGCAAACCGCAGTTGACTACGTGGGAGTCCAGAGACATAGCCATTATGCCAACTGCTGGTTCCCTATTTTTATTTATTTTTATTTACATTTTTAATACGTTCAATCACATTATTTAGCTTACAAGGTGATCATTTCAGTATATGAACATTTCTCCCCGGTCGAGTTGATCAAAATATAACAACACTACCTCCCTGTCTCAACAATGCTGTCTCCGTATCCCTACTCTAAATGTTCTTCCCCAGGCCCCACTCCTCCTATACCATTAAGTATTTTAATTTCTGCCATGGAGTACAAGCATTCAGTATGTCATTTTTAAGTTAGCAAGACTAGCCCCAATGAAAGTTTAGAACACTAATTAGAGTATCTGAACCAATACATACAGGCAACCAGCCATGATCATTGTATCCTAAATGTGCATCCATGGAATTGGACAAGTGCAAGAGAAGTCAGCAGAGATCAGATTCCAAGCACTGCTGCCTCACAGTGAATCCAAGACAGAAAGATAGCCCACAGGCCAGAGGGGACTGAGAAGGGCTGAGCACTGGACAGGAACATACCTGAGGGAGAAGGGTCAGTCAGGAAAGAGTCAGGCTCTGGGAATGAGACTGAAATCCCAGACAAGAAGAGGTGGCGGTATTCACCAGATATATGATGTCTACAGGTCATTGCCAAGTTTAGAGGACAGATTTCCAGCATGGACAAGGTTAGTAGAAACAGGTTCGTAAGCAGTAACTTAGAAAGAAACCCCAGAGAACAGATGACACTTCGGGGAAATAACACTATGTAATAGTTCAGAGGTGGACTTCCAAGAGAAATCATACTGATCCTAATCCCTACTTGCCAAATACTACAGGGGATAGTTATATTACATCTCTAAGCTTCAGGGTCCTTGTCTGTAAAGTAATAGTTACACTAATTTCAACTTGAAGAATTTTTGTCCATCAAATCACACAATTTAATGAAGAGGACTAAAGTAATTCTAGGTATCTAGTAAATTCCCAATCAGTGTTGTTATTATTATTAGAACTTCACTTACACATTTATACATCTTGCTTGAAAATGCCATAATTATAATATACATTTAAAAATGGAACATAATTAGTGTACCTAAGCCTTGTGTAATTTTGTTTCTTTTGCCATATAGCTTTACTCTTTATAATGTCTTTTCATTAGGGAGTGAATTTTTAGAATTAAAAAAAAAAAAGAACTTGCCAGTTGAAAACCAGGTCTTGGTACCATTTTGGACGATCATAAGAAGCCATTTCTAAATAAAAAAGAATTCTGATTGTGCTGATGATCAAATCATGAACGTGGATCTAGGGCAAAGGGAAAAAAATTATGCTTTGAGAATTCAACTCAATGTTTATAAAAATGTCAGATTTTGTATTAATGTCACTTTAACTTGTGCTTCTTGTCCAACGGTATATTTTTGTTTAAGTTACTAGAGATGGAGCCTGTTACCGCCTCATTTATCTGGCCACAAATTCAAGGTCTGCCTTAGTAGGTGGCTTGATTGAATCACTGGCTTCTTATTTCAGAGCTCTCTCACTCTCAATCGATGTATTAGATTTATTCACAGGATTCCTGCATCAGGCTGGGAGACCAAAGGGGTTCTGAAGAAGAGACAGGCTCTCATGTTTTTGCTGCAGAATTAGACACCATCTATCTGAAAATGGAATCTGTGGTAAAAATTTCCAAGTTACTTATGATCCTTCTCTTCACGTTGACTCAGTTCTCCCAAGACTCCCTCTTTGGGAGCCATTTAATCAAACAATACATATTTTGGCTTATTCTACTAATTCTATTGTCCCATAGTAAATTCAACAAAACTATCCCCTGACATAGTTTCATCTTGCTCTCTCTTTACCCATAGCACACAAATAGAATTAACTAACTTTATGAAGGACATTTTCTTATTTTTGAAACCTGACAGACTTATAGGGAACTATTGATTGGCCAGGGGTCAGGGTATCTAGCTTCTAAAGAAACCATGACTGATTTGCTTGTAATTGCCCCGATATTTTGCTGTCCCATCTCTGCCCTTTATTACTGACTCTTCTCCCTGGGGGTATGGTGGGAAAGATGAAAATGTGAAATTCAGTCAGATCGCTGACAGTGATGCGATCAGATGTGTGTCTGGCAGAAGTCCTGAAATCATTGGATGAAATACGCCTTCCGAGAGTTTTATATTTTGGAGAGGTTTTCGCTATAGGGCATATGCGCTTGCCAGATAGACAGAGAGAGACAGAGACAGAAAGCGAAAATCACCCCCCGGGGGGATGGTCACGCTGCAATCCCTTCTCCTCCATTCTCCTCTCGGGATCTTGGGCACGCACGCACACGCACCCGGCGTGAGTTCTAAGCCACCGGGTCCAGGACGCAAACCGCAGTTGACTACGTGGGAGTCCAGAGACATAGCCATTATGCCAACTGCTGGTTCCCTATTTTTATTTATTTTTATTTACATTTTTAATATGTTCAATCACATTATTTAGCTTACAAGGTGATCATTTCAGTATATGAACATTTCTCCCCGGTCGAGTTGATCAAAATATAACAACACTACCTCCCTGTCTCAACAATGCTGTCTCCGTATCCCTACTCTAAATGTTCTTCCCCAGGCCCCACTCCTCCTATACCATTAAGTATTTTAATTTCTGCCATGGAGTACAAGCATTCAGTATGTCATTTTTAAGTTAGCAAGACTAGCCCCAATGAAAGTTTAGAACACTAATTAGAGTATCTGAACCAATACATACAGGCAACCAGCCATGATCATTGTATCCTAAATGTGCATCCATGGAATTGGACAAGTGCAAGAGAAGTCAGCAGAGATCAGATTCCAAGCACTGCTGCCTCACAGTGAATCCAAGACAGAAAGATAGCCCACAGGCCAGAGGGGACTGAGAAGGGCTGAGCACTGGACAGGAACATACCTGAGGGAGAAGGGTCAGTCAGGAAAGAGTCAGGCTCTGGGAATGAGACTGAAATCCCAGACAAGAAGAGGTGGCGGTATTCACCAGATATATGATGTCTACAGGTCATTGCCAAGTTTAGAGGACAGATTTCCAGCATGGACAAGGTTAGTAGAAACAGGTTCGTAAGCAGTAACTTAGAAAGAAACCCCAGAGAACAGATGACACTTCGGGGAAATAACACTATGTAATAGTTCAGAGGTGGACTTCCAAGAGAAATCATACTGATCCTAATCCCTACTTGCCAAATACTACAGGGGATAGTTATATTACATCTCTAAGCTTCAGGGTCCTTGTCTGTAAAGTAATAGTTACACTAATTTCAACTTGAAGAATTTTTGTCCATCAAATCACACAATTTAATGAAGAGGACTAAAGTAATTCTAGGTATCTAGTAAATTCCCAATCAGTGTTGTTATTATTATTAGAACTTCACTTACACATTTATACATCTTGCTTGAAAATGCCATAATTATAATATACATTTAAAAATGGAACATAATTAGTGTACCTAAGCCTTGTGTAATTTTGTTTCTTTTGCCATATAGCTTTACTCTTTATAATGTCTTTTCATTAGGGAGTGAATTTTTAGAATTAAAAAAAAAAAAGAACTTGCCAGTTGAAAACCAGGTCTTGGTACCATTTTGGACGATCATAAGAAGCCATTTCTAAATAAAAAAGAATTCTGATTGTGCTGATGATCAAATCATGAACGTGGATCTAGGGCAAAGGGAAAAAAATTATGCTTTGAGAATTCAACTCAATGTTTATAAAAATGTCAGATTTTGTATTAATGTCACTTTAACTTGTGCTTCTTGTCCAACGGTATATTTTTGTTTAAGTTACTAGAGATGGAGCCTGTTACCGCCTCATTTATCTGGCCACAAATTCAAGGTCTGCCTTAGTAGGTGGCTTGATTGAATCACTGGCTTCTTATTTCAGAGCTCTCTCACTCTCAATCGATGTATTAGATTTATTCACAGGATTCCTGCATCAGGCTGGGAGACCAAAGGGGTTCTGAAGAAGAGACAGGCTCTCATGTTTTTGCTGCAGAATTAGACACCATCTATCTGAAAATGGAATCTGTGGTAAAAATTTCCAAGTTACTTATGATCCTTCTCTTCACGTTGACTCAGTTCTCCCAAGACTCCCTCTTTGGGAGCCATTTAATCAAACAATACATATTTTGGCTTATTCTACTAATTCTATTGTCCCATAGTAAATTCAACAAAACTATCCCCTGACATAGTTTCATCTTGCTCTCTCTTTACCCATAGCACACAAATAGAATTAACTAACTTTATGAAGGACATTTTCTTATTTTTGAAACCTGACAGACTTATAGGGAACTATTGATTGGCCAGGGGTCAGGGTATCTAGCTTCTAAAGAAACCATGACTGATTTGCTTGTAATTGCCCCGATATTTTGCTGTCCCATCTCTGCCCTTTATTACTGACTCTTCTCCCTGGGGGTATGGTGGGAAAGATGAAAATGTGAAATTCAGTCAGATCGCTGACAGTGATGCGATCAGATGTGTGTCTGGCAGAAGTCCTGAAATCATTGGATGAAATACGCCTTCCGAGAGTCTTTGGGTTTCATTAATTCTATGGTTCTCAAATGCTGGCATGCATCAGAATCCCTGGAATGGGAATTTAAATAAAGATAGCAAGTTTTCCATCCAGTAAGTTTTGGGTTGGGCCCGAGCAATTGCATTTCTAAGATGTTCCCAGGTGATGCTGATGCTGCTGACTCTGAGATGATACTGTCGAACCACCGCACTAATCCATGCTTGGCTTCCCTCCTGTTAACATGAATAATCCAGAATTCGCTTTTCCTCAGCTAGCTATAGAAATTGAGGTTGGAGAAATTAAACCCAATGGCTTGAGCACTTATTCTGGCATATGTGTACCTCGTGCTGTGTAATAGTGGTAAAGTAAGTAGGTTACTCTATCTGGTTGGTTGAGTTTGTTCACAGAGTAGTCAAGTATGTGATCGCTGAATATGGCTCTACTCTACAACTACCTTTGCTGTTTTGTATTCTTTTAGGACCAATGTAATAGTAACATTTAATTTTTTTAAAGGTAAAAATCTCATGTCTATGGTTTTTCAAGGTATTCAGATATTAAAAGCTTCCATTGTTTTTCTCAATGATCCAGACATCATGAGTCTTTTTTGGTAATGGAAGAATTTATTTCATTTGATGCTCATGAATTTTTAACATAATACAGTACTTATTTGGCTTTGATAAAGGAGTACCTGGAACAAGAGTCAGCAGAGGTATAGTGGTTAAGGTGCTAGACTCCCACATGGTCAACTGTGGTTCAAGGCCTGGATCTGGCAGTTTGAAATCATGTTGGGCATATGTGCATGTGTGCCCACCCAAAATCGCAGAAGAAGAATGGAGGAGAAGAGATTGTGGCATGGCCATCTCCCCGGCAGCTAGAGGAGTGATTTCTCATTTTCCCTTTTGTTGTCTCTCTCTGCCTTTCTGGCAGGCACGTGCACCCTAAGACAAGAACCTAAAAAAAAAAAAAAAAAAAAAAAGGATATGGAACAAAAAGCAGAGAGAGCAGTACATCACAGAGGCATTAGATGAACTTCAGATGAGCTCATTCAATGTATGGGACACATTTTGGTTACAAGAAATGAATACAAAGCTGAAGTGAATGTCAGGCATATAACAGGGAGCAACAGGGGATAGGGGTCTCTCACTTTAAAGACTTGGCTCGTCCTTTAGCTCCCAGAAAGTTATGTGACTCATTCCCATTCTTTATAGTCCATGAAGTACAGGCTGAATGATAAGCAATCTCAACTAGGAACAATATACTTAGGAATAGCCTTGCTTTCTTCTTTTAACTGGACTGGGTACATTTTGTCTGATAAAAGATCAAACTATGCTCAAGTGTCCCTGAGACTCAAGTAAGATTTACAGTCTAGCTGTTAGTACTGTCCTTTCTCTAGGTCTCGTGTACATCCTGAGATCATCCTGGCTGAAAGGATGTCTGAGAAATACAATTTTGAGCTTTTCCAGCATCTGTGGTACAGACAGTAAAGCAAGAAGGATGAAATAGATACTGAATGGTTTAGTGTGCAGTAGTTAAAAGCAGAAAAGTGGTAAACTTAAAAAAAAAAAAATCCTGGCCTGAGAATCTGGTGATGGACCTCTAAATCCAGTCCCTAGTTGCGACTGATCATGGCAGTGTTTTGAAGCTGTCCTACCAGAGTGACAGGATGAAGCAGTAGTATAGTCATTAATGACTGTCACGTAAGATGTATGAACCTGTGCAAGTAAACCTGGATCTGTACCTGCACCAGCTTTCTCATAGTGAAATGGCAGTAAGAATAATTGCCTACTTCATAGACTTGTTGTGAGAGGGAAATGCAATGTCCTTCAAGTGGGTCTGGCACATAGCAAGTGCTCAGTTTTTCATTTTCTTATGGTATGGAGTCTCATTGAATGTTCCTGCTCATGAGATGCTGAATCAATGATTACTATTTTTATAGTAGGTATATTTAAGACTTAGGAATAGTTAAACCAATATTCTAAGCACAATAAAAACACCTGTGTAAAAGCCAGATCACCTATGAGTTTTCCTTCTGGTTCTCTGTTTGCATCCTCACTTTGAAAACCTGTTACCCTGGAATTCTTACACACTAAAAACAGATCTTTATCTTTAGTCATACTGGGATTTTAGAAAGCTGTGTACTAGAAAAATCTTTTAAAAATTATTTTTCTTTTAGGATTAGAAATAGAAGACAGGTGACAGATCGTAACCTGTTCAACTTATTTTGTGATAATTTGTTTCTTTTGGGCAATACTATTTACTTGCACAAGCAAAACATAGCTTTAAATGTGAGATTTACCACCATCTTGTGAATCTGGGGCCTCAATTAACCAAGTGCATCTTATTCTTCCTCCCGCTTTAGCTGGACAGTGCCACATCCCTTATCCAGGCAGCTAAAAACCTGATGAATGCTGTTGTCCTCACGGTGAAAGCATCTTATGTGGCCTCAACTAAATACCAGAAGGTCTATGGGACAGCAGCTGTCAACTCCCCTGTTGTGTCTTGGAAGATGAAAGCTCCAGAGAAGAAGCCCCTTGTGAAGAGAGAAAAGCCTGAAGAATTCCAGACACGAGTTAGACGAGGTTCTCAGAAGAAACACATTTCGCCTGTACAGGCTTTAAGTGAATTCAAAGCGATGGATTCCTTCTAGGACGATAGGCTGTAAACAAGAAAGCTTTCTTTTTCTTTCTTTTTTTCCTTTCTCTTTCTTTTTAATTCCATTTTTGTATGCTTACCTGCCGACTCGTATGCCTCTGGCATGGGGAAATTAAGGGAGCAGTGTCTGTTTGCATGTGAGATGAGATGTGATCAATACTACTGATCCATCTGTAGCCCGGGAAGGGGACAGGGAATTCCTGTCCTAAGGTGGCACAGAGCTGTCCTTTACAACATTCTCATAAAATTGGGCAAAGAGTTCGCATTGCAATGTTTACGGGAGTGGGAGGGAGGGGGAAAATAAACTTAACTCTACAAAAGCAAACTCTAATGCATGCAAGAATCATTAGGTTGGCAGGTATATTCATAAGTGAAAAATCTGGAAGTGTAATGGTAGAACATAAAACTTGTATTGCTTCTGTTCAGTGCAAAAATGTACTAGCCAATACGCTTAAGTGTGTGGCCCACAAATTGAACAATTTAACTTCGAAGTCATATCCATGATATTATGTGGATTTTTAACTCAGAGGACACTAATCCAGCCTAAAATGCTTCTTTTAATCTGCATTTTGTTCTTTCTCTTCTAGGAGTGCCATTACTAGTGCTCATGTTATTTTTTTTTCTTCCCTCTACTAAAAGCAATTATTTATTTGAGAATATTAAAATCTTTCTGGGAGCACTGGAAGCACAATATGGTGATCTATCTTCTTCTTATCATTTTTTTAGTTTGAAACTAAACTATTCTTTTGCTAGAAATAGAAGGCCCAGTGGTGGGATATTAGAGGAATGGCAACTGACAATGTGTGAAGGTTTAGAGGCGAAGTCATAGGTGTAGCTTGGAGTGCTGGTATCTAATATACCGTTGTATCCACTAACTCAAAATAAACACATTTAATCTTGACCTCTGAAGAATGTTCTCTTTCTTTAAATGCATACTTAATGAAAGGTTAGAGCATTTTCTTCTAAGTTGATTGAAAACACTTTTTTTTTGGTACTGGTTTTTAGAATTTAGGGGTCATTTTTTTTGGTACTGGTTTTTAGAATTTAGGGGTAAAATAGGTGAGTATCCTTCATCTGGAAATCCAGAATGATTCAAAATTTTAAACTTTTTTGAGTAATGATCTGACACCACAGTGGAAAGTTTTATGCCTGACTCATGTGACAGTTCACAGTCAAAATAATAAATTAAAAAAATGGTATAAAATTACCTTCAGGTTATGGGTTTATTTATAAAATATAACTGAATTTCATGTTTAGACTTAGGCTTACCCCCAAGATATCCTGTTATAGTTACATAAATAGGACCCCAAACATTTTAGATAAGGTATTCTGGAACTGTAATTCTTTTTAGACATCTGTAGAGGTCCGAAATTTCATTTTGGATTTTTACAATTTGTTTTCATTGACTTTCAAACTGAGAATAGATGGAGAAGGCCTTGTTTTAGACACTTCATCCTTGTTCCTGGGTTAAACGAAAGAAATTTGATATGTTCTCAGAGAGAAAATTAAAAAAAAAAAATAGACGCCATTAGTTTCTAAATATTTTCATTTAAAAAATTGCTCTAAATTGGAAAATCAGGACCTTATGCCCCTTTCTTAAGGAGGATGACTATTCTTTTACCTATGGACTGAGGAGGAGTAGGGAAAAAAATATATTCACTTGAGTGTCCCCAAATCCTTCCATTAGAATGAGCCCTATAAGTCATCAGACTATGTAACCAGACTTCTAGTAAATTATGCATATATTTCGTAGCAATATGATAATGCACAGAGTGTCGCAACACCTAAGTTTTAAGTTAGTTTATGAACCAGGTCCAAAACAAAAGGGCTGCAGGAGTTGTGAAAGAAGAGAATGCTTAGGCTAAAATCTTACTTAGAATGAGCTTAACCATCACTGAAAACACCACTATGATGAAAAACGTTTTATGTGGCACCTCCATAAAAGCTATAGATTAGGGGCCAGCAGTTGGCCTAATGGATATGTCGTTAGACTCCCATGTAGCCGACCGTGGTTCAAATCTCGGACCCGGTGGCTTAAACTCACGTTGCCCAAGATCCCAAAAGGAGAATGGAGGAGAAGGATTGCGGCATGGCCATCCTCCCTGGGGGGTGATTTCTCACTTTCTGTCTCTCTGTTTCTCTGTCTTTCTGGTGAACGCACGCACCCTATAACAAACCTCTCCAAAAAAAAAAAAAAGAGCTGTAGTTTAGGTGACGGTGTAGTGGGAATGCAACTGGACACACTCAGGGAATGTCTGGGGACCTCCTTGTGTGCACTGGGCACACACACGTACCCTTGTATTCCAGACTGTATAAGACTGGAAATAAGTCACAGTACAGAGGCCCTGTTGGGGGGGGGGGTGCATGCCTCTCTGCTCATCATTAGATCATAAGTAACTAGCCTGTCCCCTTAACTCACATAAGCATTCAAAGGGGTACGACTGACATTCTTTCACAAATATTAAGGAATGCCTTCTCTGAGCTGGGTCCTAGGCTAAGCACACCACTGGGTACCGGCAACCTTCCCTCTTAGTGCATGAACAGGGTGAGGAAGCAGCGTACCACCTGTGCCTGCACGCTGACCTGAAGAAGAGAAACAGTGTGTTCTGCACAGTATGCATCATTAATACTGAGAAATCTGAACTCCCAGTAATGGCAAATACACCTGTTTGAAAAGCTCTTCCTTCAAAACGCTACTCACTCTGGTATTTTGTTTTGTTTTTGTTTTTTTTTTTTCTTTTCTAAGAGATAGACTAGAAATGGTGGAAATCTCTTCCCCATTCTTCTCCACAGGATTTAGGAAAGTGGAGATAAGGGGTTAAAGGGAAGAAAGAGAAATATCATCAGCATAGTGACGATGATCCTATTGAAAGACGCAACACAGTGCTATTCATATGTCCCCAAAGGAAACGTAATTAGCACAGTTGACTCTCTGACTTCATGCATTATTCTATTATTTAACGGGTCAAAGGATGCAAATACTCATCAGACTAGCCAAGAAAATGTTTAAGTTCAGAAGCGTCTCGGAAAATACTGAAAAATAGCCAGCAGGCCTCAGAGAAGCATGTAGAGAATGCCCTTGACATTGATGTATAAAATTTTAATGAAATGCTTTAATACATGCTTATAAACAATGTTTTTCTCTGTGTCTTCTGGAAATCAGTCCTTGATTTTGCCTATTTCTGGAAATCAGCCCTTGATTTGCCTGGTTCTTGATTTCAGTGCTTATTGAATAATCATCACTATCCCTCCTACCATTGCTCTCATGATCAAGGAGAACAAAAGAAATAATTAAATATAAACACTTTGCAGAGAGCACCATAGCAATACAAAATTGGTGCATTTCATGTCCTTCAGAAAGACACAATCTAGAGCATGTTCAATGGGAAAAAAGATTGTAAAAATATGCCACAAAATCATACTCAAAGTGCCAAATGACTAAGAGAAATAACTACTGTGTGAGACTAGAAGAACCAGAACCCACTGTGGTGGTTGGCGGGGGAAGATGGTATTTTGGGGTAAGGATTAATGAATGAAGATAGGTTTGTAAATGAGTAATAATAAATACATTCTGAATAAATGAAAGCCATCAAATGAATCAATTTGAAAAGAGTGATTACTGAGACACATGTACAGTGGTAAAAATAACCCTGCATACTTTTTTTTTTTTTTTGGAGAGGTTTTTGCTATAGGGCACATGCACTCGCCAGAAAGAGAGAGACAGAGAGACAGAAAACGAGAAATCACCCCTCGGGGGATGGCCATGCCACAATCCCTTCTCCTCTTGGGATCTTGGGCACACACGCACATGCACCTGACGTGAGTTTAAGCCACCGGGTTCGGACTTGAGCCGTGGTTGACTACGTGGGAGTTCCGCAACATAGCCATTACCCTAACTGCTGGTCCTGCATGTTTTTTTTTTTTTTTAAAGAGTTTCTTGCCTTTGGGTGTGTGTGCTTGCTGGAGAGACAGAGACAGTGAGAAAGTAAGAAATCACTCCTGATGGTGATGCGGGGATGGCCATGCCACAATTCTTTCTTCTCCATTCTCCTGCGGGGATCACGGGCACACATGACATGCACTGGACTTAATTTTGAAGCCACCAACTGAAGGACTTGAACTGTGGTGATCCAGTGATGTAACCACTACGCCATCTGTTGGCCCCCAAAGTTGCATGCTTTAAGGTCTGAAAAGACATGCAGTCACAGGAAACACAGGATTAAAGAAGGGGACCAGTGGAAAATAAACGTGGAGATGTACTATGAGGCTAACCCATGGAGGTCATGAAAGAAAAAAAAGGAGGGTCATGAAATGTGGTGATAATTATCCAACAGCCAATATTATTAAGTGGGATGGTAGCACAAAGAAGTGTCTTTAACAGTTGAAACTTGTATGGTGAGGTAAAGACTGAAAAGAGCTGATGATGTTAGGAGTGTATGTGATAAAACTATAAAGAGGACTTATATCAACTTCTTGAATAACCATATGTGGCAAGGAAATGATTAAAGTATATAACTTCTTCAGACAAAGACTCAGAAAACAAAATATCTGAAAAGCGATATATTAAGTTGGGCTAGAATGATATGTTTGAAGAGACTCAGGATTGTTACTGGTTCTGAAATAGAGTTACTTAAGGAGTTACTATTTCCTAAAGATGTAAAATTTTTGGATGCAGGAGAATGAATAGTCCTCATGGTAGGAAACCAAATAAATCTCTCTCTTTTTTTTAATTTTTTTTTTTTTTTTTTTTTTTTTTGTTTGCCACACTGTTCTGGGACTGATGGTTCAAAAGACATACTCATTGGGACAAGCAGTTAGCATAATGGCTATGTCGCTGGACTCCCATGTAGTCGACTACATTTCAAGTCCTGAACCTCGTGTGCATGCGTGCCCAAGATCCTGAGAGGAGAATGGAGGAGAAGGGATTGTGGTGTGGCCATTCCCCCTGGGGATGTCCGTCTCTGTCTTTCTGGTGAGCGCATGTGCCCTATAGCAAAAAACCTCTCCAAAAAAAAGAAAAAAGAAATAAAAAAGACATACTCATTTTCTGAAGACCCAAGGTATCCAGGGAAACAGGTTAGCTACAAACTATGTGTAGTTTTTCTCCATTTGGTGTCAAAGATCATGAAGTCAGCTTTACTTTTATAAGCCAACTGTGTAACCAACTGGTCATGGTTTCACTCATGGGAAAACAGGCATGGCTGGGAGGTAGCCAGTTAATTCCTGTTTCCTTTCTTACCATGAAAGGAAAATAATGGAACTTGCTCCTCCCTGTCTGCTGGCCACCTTGGAAAACAGTTTCTATCTTACCTATCTCAGAGAGCTGATAGAAATGGCAGTATCATTTAAATATCAGATCAGACGCCACTGAAAACAGTGGTAGGCACCTCAGTTACCGGGAACTCCAGACCTATGGATAGAGGATAACAGCATATATAAGGCTCTGAGAAGCAGAAGGGATGAGATCCTTACAGAAAGTATTTAATAGCAGCCTTGCAGATAGAGGACACCTGAGAAAAGAACACACAGAGGGCCAGGAAACATAGATGTTTAAAAATGGCCTGAAAAGACCATAAGCATTCACTTTAGCCTAAATAGTGAAGGTCTGTCCCTACATGAGTCAGTCTGCAAAACTGGCAGAGGTGACTGTCTTTTCAAATGCCCACACATATTCTAGCTCTCCAAGAGATTCATTGTACATTGAAGGAAACACAATAGACTTAAATAGAATGGAAAAGATACTCCACACAAATAGTAAGAAAAAGAGAAAAGGGGTTTCTACACAAATATCAAATAAAATAAATGTTAAGTCAAAACTGTTAAAATAGATTAAAAAATGACTAATAATAAAAGGGTCATTACATCAAGAAGATATAATAGAAACATATGTGTATCAAACAA